TGAATTTTAATTAAAGTTGTATCATAAATTACTTAAATATCTTAAATTTCTACATAATTACTTAAAATATCTATATATTAAATATTTTGAATTTTTAACCATCCATATCTTTAAATTAAACAATCCACATATGCCACAGGTTAATTACATAATTATTTTAGTAATGAATTTAATTAAAGTTGTATCATAAATTACTTAGATATCTTAGATTTCTACATTAATATCTTAAATTTCTATATATTAAATATTTTAAATTTTTAATTTAAAGTAAATCTTTAAATTACTCAAATATCTTAAATAAAAAATATTCATATCTTTAATTGCTTAAATGTTTCAAATTTCATTTGTAAAACAATCACAAATTCTTTTTATTAAACTAAAATAATTATTTTATAATTATTTACAACAATTATAATTTCTTCCTTGCACCATTAACAAATTATACTTTCAGCATGATTTACATCTTCCAAGCGGGTTACGTGGTATTTTTGCGCCATGCTTAACATACAGATATCGCGTTGAACGATTACCTGATGATAATCAATAAATAACAGTGATAATCTAATTGAAGGCAGATTAAAAAAAAAAAAAAATGCTTCAATTAATTGATTATTACAACAGGAATGATAAAATGATCCAGTAAATGGCTAATTTAATATAATCGAATAAGATTTGAATTTATTTTAAAATAATTTTAAACTTCTGATAATTTTTTTCATTAATCAGCTTAACAGAAATGTTATCAGTCACAAAAAAAATTTCAATGATAATACGAAAAAGCAGAATTAATGATAAAATACTGGGAGATTTGCACTTATTCAATTACCGCATTAATTATTATACTTTTATCAATTATCTATCATTAAATTCTTATAATATTTTTATACGTATAATATTCTCATTGATTAAAACTTCATTGTTTTTTTTTTCTTCTATCTCCATTTTTTTATCCCTTCTTTTAACACAACTTCATTAATTAAATAATTAATTAATACTTAAAAATTTGTTAATATTTTATAATATTTCATCATTTCACTTATTAATGTTTTAAATTTTATTTTTTTATTTCTTATTTTTTTTATTTTTTATGTTAATATTTTATTTCTATTTCTAATTATTTTATTTCCATTTTTATTTTTCTTATTTTATAATATTTCATCATTTCACTTATTAATGCTTTAATTTCATTTTTTATTTC